GCCAACCTTTTCCTCAAGAAGCAATTAGCCTACAACACCATGTTGGTACACAAATCCGCCATCTGTACCTTCTGGTTCGGTAAGTCTCCTTCCTCACTCGCATCAGACTTCATGGTTCGCCAAGTACTGAAGGCCATATCCATGACTCAACCTAGAGAAATCATATCAGAGATATGGGACGCTCGCTTACTCCTAGACTGGTTGAAGACAGAGCCCCAGAGTCTATCCTTCTTCGAGGTTTCCAGACGAACAGCTGCTTTACTTCTTCTGATCTCAGGTCGACGCATACACGATCTGACACTGCTAAGAATCTCTACCGACTCCCTCACCAACTTGGGTGACGTAATTATCCTTTGGCCAGCTTTCGGCTCCAAGACCGACCGCAGTCAGTTCCGACAATCAGGATGGAGACTGTCTAAGCACCCTAATATCCGCTTGTGTCCTGTCACCTGGATTAGGGTACTGCTAAAGAAATCTGAAGAAAGACGAGCTACCCAGAAGCTGAAAGACCTCTTCATCATCGTCACGGGTCCTGTTAAACCTGCTCCCACTACAGTAATTGCTGGCTGGATTCGCTCGGTCTTTAGGGACGCGGGCATTGATGCTTCTCCTGGAAGCGTTCGATCTGCTGTAGCTTCCCGTAACTGGCTGGACAACATCCCTGTCCAGAGCATTCTGGATCGTGGTAATTGGAGGTGCTGCGAAACCTTCAGGAAACATTACTATCGAAATGTTACCGTTACAAATTACAACAATTCTAATACTCTCTTCAACTATTTCTCTCCGACCTGATACGAGAGTCTATATCCTGATATGTAGGTGTTCATTCGCCTTGTGTTTTCACTTAACTATTAATAAACGAAGTTTACTCATGTCCATCCCTCATAATTTTTTACCGTTGCTCTTATCTACTCAAAAGGCATTGAGTGGGTCACCAGCAGAAACCAAACACATCTCTCATAGGGATGCCGTTTTATCGGCCCATAGCATATAATGCTAGTGTTTTGAACTCCAACAAAACACAGATTATATGCGGAAGCCGATAAACGGCATCCCGGCAAGTATCTTGCTGGTGAGACTTCCTATGACGAAAGACGCAGTGACCACTGCGCAGCAGGTGACCCACGCACGCGCAACCAGAGACAGAGAGGGAAAAGGAGAGTGAAGGAGGGCAGATAAGGCCGAATCCTCAACAACTTCTCTCATAGGGATGCCGTTTATCGGCTTCCGCATATAATCCGTGTTTTGTTGGAGTTCAAAACACTAGCATTTTACGGGCCGCTATCCCCCTAGGGGGACATTGCTGAACTTAGTTGAAGTTCTTAATAATGTAGATTCCAGATGATGATTTTCAAATTAAATCTTCTTTTGAATTTTCTTGAGGAAGTTGTAGATTAGTTGACAAATTTTATCCTTCGGTGATTTCATAAGAGTGTATATATTATATGAATGTATTCCTAAGTTATTCAAAGCTTTTACTAAAATAGTCCTCTCTTCTTTATATTTTGTGGCAGATCCAAAAAACATAAGTGAGTGTCTCTTTGATATTTGCATTGCAGTCACACATTGGAGAGTTGATGTAGTTTTTCCGTGCTAAACTTTCGTTCAAATTGAAGTGATCAGCTCTCATTCGGTTGATTGTTGTGATGACGGGTCTATTTAAACTGGACTATTTGAACTACAGTGGGCGCCATCCTAGATAGAATTTCTCAAAGTATTGAGTCCCTCTATCTTTCGATCGATTTTTAAGAATTCTTACTGTATCTTCACGCATTTTTTATTGATATTGTAATAGAAGTCCGTGTAGGGTATTTTGGTTTGTTGTAGATGTCCCGATTTACAAGCTTCCTTCGCTAGGGTGTCAGCCTTTTCATTTCCCTCTAAGTTTACGTGGGCAGGGATCCACATAAATATGATTTCTAGTCCCAACGATTTCTGAATGACCCAGCTATTGAGTATTTCACATATTAAATAAGAAGGATTATTATAAAGGGAGAAATTTTCCAATAAAGAGAGGACACTCAAGGGGTCAGATAGGATAATAATCTTTTCTGCATTCAAATTGGACGCTTCCTTTACTGCAGTCAAAATTGCAGTTGCTTCAGCAGTAAATATTGATGCAAATGAAGATATTTTTTGTTTTATCTCAATGTTGAAGTCTGGAGCATAAACAGAATAGCCCACGTAATTTGAATCCTCGCATTTCGAACCATCAGTATAAATTTGTGAATAGTTCTGAAGTCCAAGATTACAAAGCTCATCTTGTAGAGTTTTCTCTGGTGTATTTGATTTCTTGATTAAAGTTCGTTTATTGAGAATTATTCTTGGGTCTGCATTTATCAGTTCATGTGAATATGAGTAATTACATGGCTACGGGTCAGCTTTTATGTTAGTTATGTGGCCAGTCAAATAAATGAATGATTTGTATAATGGGAAGCTATCTTGGATGTTATGTATCCCTTTATTGGGATTGAGACGTAGAGCTGAACGTAAATTGTGGAGCTTTTCATATAATAAATGCTGTAAGAGAATACTCGAGTAATATATCTATTTGTTAGCTGTTCAATCCGAATGTTTAGTGGAGCTTCTCGAGCTTCAGCCAACATGACGTTGATTGGAGTCGAATTCCTGTATCTCAGTGCTAGTCTAATGGCTTTGTATTGAATTCTATCGATTCCCTCCATGTAAGATAAATTAGATGGAAGAATTATCTGGCATCCATATTCGATCGAGCTTCTTATTAAAACACATGTNATTTTGTTAAAATATAGACTCTAGTGAGTCACTTTAAAGTTACTCAAAATTCTTTTCATTTTACTCCAAGTGAACCTTTCCAACCTTTGATTCNGTATCTCAGTGCTAGTCTAATGGCTTTGTATTGAATTCTATCGATTCCCTCCATGTAAGATAAATTAGATGGAAGAATTATCTGGCATCCATATTCGATCGAGCTTCTTATTAAAACACATGTCTTAAGGCTATTAATCATTCAAAATGTAGGACAAAAACTTAGAAATTCATAAAGAATTAGACATTAAAACTCTCACGAAAGCTGTAAGCGGATTAACTAGCGATTTTTTTAACAAACTTAATGACCAGAATATTTGACAAAATATATGAGGTGTAACATCCGTCAGAAAATTCATTTTAATTCATTTTCTTACGTCGTCATTCAATTATCTCAGTGATAGAAGCGACTTTTGAAATCCAAATTATCTTCTGTGACGAGGGAAAGTGACCCCCTCGATGTTGGGAATATTTCGGCTGCACACATCTGTGAACGATAAAAATGTTCCCAACGTCGAGTTTCTCCTAGATTAAGGAGATATCAGCTGTGCAATATCAGATGCAGTGTAAACATTTGAGTCTAGTCTCATCTCCTTAATCATGTACTTTCCACGTGTGACCGTAAATTTCAATAAACACTGGACTCTTGAATCGGAAAACTGTTAATAACAAATTCTAAGCGTGGGTCCAAATTTTGTAACTCCCACGACAAATATTTGATATCAAAATAGAGTAACGATTTCGTTTCCCACATGGAGGGAATGACATAAACATTGACGAACATGTGACACAAAAATAGTAAAATGCATCATACAACAGAATGATTCTTTTATGAATAATTTTCCATTTCGGATATTAATTAAACTATCATAATTGTTTAAGAAATATTATCAACGTGGGAAAACCACAAAATAATTAAAGTTTAAACAATATTTTTATGTCATTGAATTATTATTGAATTACTATTAGATTACTATTTTTCTTCAATGAATTATAATTTATCATAACATTTCATGAAATTTATCTGAATTGTTTCTAAAAAATTAAATAACAAAGATGTTAACGCTAAGTTGAAAATAAGAGATAAAAGAGAATTGTGGAGGGAATATATGGGCATTCCTAAAACAATTTTCATTGGTTGTTGGGGAATAGAAAAGACCGCCTACACCCCAAAAACATCTTCATGTAGAGAGATGGAGTTGATCTCGAAACAAGGAGATTTCAAACCACTGGAGTGGGAAATTTCGGCTAGAGTCATTTGTAATTGGTCCCCGAAATTTCCCTATGCATTCTGAGGATACACCCTCTTAGACAAACTATAAAGACTTGTGCGCGATAGCAGCACGACAGTTACAGTTCCGATTGCATTTTGTAGTCATCGCTACAGTAGTAGTAGTAGCTCATATCTGAGAGTTAGTATACTCCAGTTTCTTTTGGACACAATTCCAATTTTATTATCGACCTATTAAGGCGATATTTCGGATTTTTCACGACCTTTAATTTTCATATAGTCTTGGATGACTATTTAATTTCCATTTTAGTCTTTCGTGACTAAATTATTTTCTGAAATCCCAAGTCTTGTGACATTTTTAATTATTTTATTCATTTAAATAAAGAATTTAATCCAACGTCTTAAATTCAGTGCGGCATTACTTTTAACCACATACAAAATACTTTACGACTGAAAGCAGAGCAGTGAATATAAGTCGAATGTTGTAGTTATACTTTTCTACTTATTTTGTTAAAATATAGACTCTAGTGAGTCACTTTAAAGTTACTCAAAATTCTTTTCATTTTACTCCAAGTGAACCTTTCCAACCTTTGATTCCAAACCTTTTTGGGGTTGAGAAAATTGAAGTAAAAGGGGACCTTTGTAAATGGGTTTTGTGTTTGAATTTGTTGAAATATAGCGCCCTACGCCAGTCTCCCTCTTTACCGACAGTGTGGTAGACTGTGTCGCCACGGCGCCGTTGCGCCTCTCAATGATATACTCGTACTATGCACCACTTGTGCCTCGACCGTTGTCGCGTTACATTGCTGAATAAAGCTTAATTACTTTGACGATTATAAAACTGTGTTTAATCATTATTTCTATCCCTAATAACCCTTCAGGTTATGGGCCGAGCACACTTCAACTGTGCGTGATTAAAATTTATCATAAATAAAAGGATTGGAAGCGATAAATCGGAAATTCCAAAAAGGACGCTATCGGGCGGCCGGGCACGTGTCTAGGTGGATCACACGCGTTCGTGCAAATCACAAGGAACATCCAAAAGAGAAAAATATCGAGGCGAGCTGGGGAGTGACTTCAGAAGGAAAGGAAAATGGAAAGTAATAAGAGGAAAAGTAAGTACTGAAAAATACATCTAATAAGTGCAGTGAATTGGCGAGACCGAGAGATAGAGAGGATCAAAATGGCGGCTGGAAATTAATTGTCCACGACGCCGACCTGAAATCGAGAATTTTAGATTAAAAAGAATTAATAAAGAAATCCCATTAAATTCACAAAAATCACTGAAAAGCATAAAATATCTTTTGTCATGAATAAAATCAAATTTAAAGCAAAACAAAAGAAGAAAACCAAGTGACGCCGAGACAATAGTTTCTCGGCGGGGAAGGCAAGCACAGGCTTCCACAGGCTTCAACAAGTAGACGCAACGGGTGGATTGCGCGTGCAACCGGGGTGCGTCTGAGAGAGAGGGACGACTGCAGTCCCACACACATTGCTCGAGCAAGGCGAGAACAATAAGAAATAGAAAGAAAAATAAAAATTAGTGTGTATATATAAAAATTGGTGTGAAAAACAAAAATTCTCTCTTTCTCGGCCGCGTTCCGCGTGTGTGCGGGGTCCACCAGCGTAATGTAAAGTAATAAAATAAAATCAACAGACACTAGTGCAAAATTGAAATTCATGAATTAAGGATGCATCAAAATCGAAATATTTAATTGGCAAGAATATTGAATCTAGAAGTATTTGATAGGCGAAAATAACAAGTTAAATATTTGACAGGTCGAACCAAAGAAATTGAATTTTTAGAAATTGCCATCTTCAGACGAAGATATTTATAAATTAAAATTACAGCTGATAAGGAACTCTTGCATGAAGTGTGGAGACTCCTGATCAGACAACATTTAATCGAAGGAAACCACGAGGGAGAACTAGTCTCCCTGGCAATAGTAGACGATAAAGTGTATGTTCTACCAGACAAAGGAACAGGATATGTAACAGGTGAGACATCAGGCATACGTGTTAATGGGCGAGCATACTATACACATTAGAAATGCGGAATATTAAGACGTCAAATTGCTTGAGAAAATTAAATCAATCTCTTGCAATCATAAAAGACTTGAGTGTGTTTGGAGGAGGTCTTATGTTTAGATTTTCTGAAGAGTACACTCATCCTGGATTCGGTTTGTTTATGTTTAGCAAGTCGAGTCTGGGATTTCGGACCTGAATACAAAAACTGTAACCAGATACAATAATTCTCAATTTTTCGGTCTCTTTAAAATTAGATAAAAGAGAATTCACAGGGGATCAATGGAGATGTCTGTGTTAGAAGCTGCATTGTTGGCCGAAAATAAGCCAATGTATCTACCAGGTTACGGTCCGAAGAGTCCAATGTCAACAACAGCTGTAATCGAGTATAGGTCAAGGAACATGAACAAAGACTTGGGAAACACGGAGGCGAGGGCCACAGGCGAGTCCAAGTCAAGCAAATTGACTGGAGGCGAGACGAATGGCGGCGAGATAAGTGCAGGCGGGAAAAATACAGGTAATATTAATGTTGACAAAACTGACCAAATCAAACCGAAACCCAAGATTACAGCAGACAATAAAGTAAATATTAAATTGAAATTGATAAAATCTAATCTAGATGATGAAACAGTTGAGCCTAACGGCAACAAGACTGTCAAGACAGTTTCTGTAGACATACAGCTGGCTGAACTGAAGAGCATGGTGGAAAAATTGTGCAACTCAAATATAACTTCAACAAAGTCACTGTATGAAAGTTGAACAGAGGACAGAAACCAGTTAAGACTAAATGCTGAGGCGAGAGCAAAAGATAAAAAGGAAGTACAGGAGCTGTTGAGTGCCCTGGACAAAACGCACAACGATAAAATAGAAGAAGTAAAAAGAACTTTCAATGAATATCGCACTGATGTCGAATCATCAATTAAGGTAACAACAAACAAGAAAAAATTAGACGGAGGAGTGGCGTCAAATGAGCATACGAATCTAGAAAATCAAATTAGTTCAATAGTCAATAAGCAGATTAATGAAATTAATCAGACAAAGTCAAGTCAAGGAAACAATCAAAATCCGTTGAAACAATTAACTAGCGAGGTAACAAATAAATTACAAATAGAATTGCTTAACAAAGGAATGAGCTTTAAAAGAGATTATAAAATGGACAGCAAAATGAAGTATGAACATTTCTATGATTATTTTTCGTCAGAAATCAAACCGAATAAACTCTTACACATCATTGACGATAACATTCTGGTTACTGTGGATGAGGAAACTCTTGCAGAACAGAAGCATAAAGTTAGAGAAATTCTGATAAACCATTTGGATAGAAGTTATCACCCTAAAATCGTCAAACTACAAGATCCAAAAGAAATATTGAAAAAATTAAAAGAATTAAAAATGGCCGAGTTTAATGTAACTTCATACTCGGTGCGACAAGACCTGTATAATATGAGATACAATCCAACCAAAATGACAGCTGGCGAGTTTAATGATTTGTTTGATGAGAAAATTGCAACGTATGAAAATGCTCCTGACACCATGCCTCTGAGTGAAAGCGAAAAGAAAGATGCATTTTACAATGCAGTAATAAAAGCTTTTCCGAATATTAAAATCATTGAAAAAGTAACAAAGAAAGCTATAGGAGTGGGCTTGACGTTTGGCGAGTTGAAAATTGCAATGTTAGAAGAAGAAGTTAAAACTGCTAATTTTGCACAGCACAAGGGGCCGAGGTGTTTTGCCTGTCAGGCGTATGGGCACAAAGGACAAGACTGTCCCAATAAAGGGAAAGGATACTTGTGCTACAAGTGCAATCAATTTGGGAATCACAAGGCGAGAGATTGCCCAAACATCATTAACAATGACAATGCACCAAGTGGTCCGGGATACTTTAAACAGACTCCAAGGTATAATTCCAATTTTAAATTTAACTATCGAAACAATTATCAAGATCAATATAGAGGTAATGGTAGAGGAATGAAAAGACCAATGAGAGGTGAAACATATGGTCCAATTAAAAGAGGAAGATGTAATAAGAGTAGGTTCTCCTATAAGAGAAGTGAGAACAAACATGGGTTTAAGTCATCTCACAAATCAATCAAGAAATCTAATCCCGACAAAACTACAGAGAAATATAACTCCAATCAAGGTAAGGAAAAAGAAAATTATGATCAATCTACTGAAATATTTTATGCAGATAGTAAACAAACAAATGGAAATAAGTTTTCGACAGACTTTCTAGCAGACTCAGGCGCGACCGAGCATTTAACAAATTCCAGAATTATATTTAAAACTTTTAACGAATTAGATTGTGGAGTAATTAGATGTGCGAATAAAAATGAGTCAGCGGACTTGAAAACGGAGGGAGCAGGAAAAATAGAAATTGAACTGGCGAGTGGTAAATTATTAGAAATTGACAAAGTTATTTTTGCAGAAGCTCTTAAAGCAAATCTGCTATCATTAAGAAAATTTGCCGAAATGGGATTAGCAATCTACTTAGATGACAAGAAAATTGATATATTTGATCCAGTGTCAAATGAACTTTTCATCTCAGAGATTTACAGAAAACCTTACTGGATAATCGATTTAGAAATAGTAAGGTCAAACTCTATCAGTGAGAATTCTTTCAAACAAATAAACAGGCGAGTAGTAGCAAATGGAGCTGATGTCACTGGGGGTGAAAATGAGGTAAAAAGATATCTCACCAGAAGTGTCACAGCAAACTTACAGAACGAAACAAGTGAGAAAACAAATGAAATTGATAAGAGTAATGAGGAAGAAAATAAAATGGATGAAAAGAATAATGAAAAAGGGAGTGAAAAATTAATAAAAGAGAAAATTATTAATAAAGAAAAGATTCCCTATGAACAATCAAATTTTGATTACACCATTTGGGACAGAAAATTGCAAGATGTTGATGAATTACCATGGGATGACTCGTTAGAAGATTTCCCNTTCTCAAAACCTTCAATTGATAAAAATAGCTATATGAGGAATCATGATGTCATGTTGTGGCATTGTAGATTTGGACATGCCTCAACGAGTTACCTCAAGGCACTACAAAAGAAATTCCCAGATAACAAAGAATTAAATGCAGTAAAATTTGATGATGAATTCATTAGAGATTGTGAGGTCTGCTTAACGTCTAAATTCAATAAATTAT